TTTTTATACTGTGTAGTCTAATTACTAAGATTAAGACACTTGTTTAAATTTTAAATAACACAGTTGTTTAAAGACAAAACCAATATTTAATGATACACAATAATTATGAAAAAAATGAGACTGTCCTCAGTACCAAAATACAATAGAAAATTTTACTTAATAATTTATTGCATAAAGATAAAATGCCATGAGACTGGGAATGGAGTACGAGTGTATGAGCAGAGACTCATGGTATTTTATCTTTATGCAATAAATTATTAAGTAAATTTTTTTATTGTATTTTGAGACCAGGAAAAACTCGTGGTTCTTTATTTTAACATTTTTGTTATTTATTTTAATTATTGTCTTAAAAAAATAGGATTAAATGTGTCTAAAAAAGTTTTCCGTTACATTAATAATTGTTTACAAACTTACAATGACACACAGCAGCTTCACCTGTCCACTTTCCGTCCAGTCCACAGACTCTACGAGAAGATGCACTTATCATCACATGACCAGTTTCACAAAAATAGTCAATGACAGAATGGACAGTAAATTCATCTCCTTCTACATACGATCCAGGATATATATTTGGCTCTCCACAGTCAATTACTGTAAAATATTTACAATTTGAATCTTTTCTCTGGCTTGTCACAATCAAATAACTATATACAATAGTCATTATCTCTCTCTGGCTCTTCAAAGTATAACAACAGAAAAAAAAGAAAACTTGTTACACCATAACTGCTCATTTTTTGTGTTTCTTTGCAGTTAGATGATAGAGCACTTTGATGAAAATATAACATATAACAAACATGAAACCCCAACCAGTACAGTGTTATTCTACAGAGATTTGAAACTTATATTGACAGAGCAATGTTATATATGTGAGTAAACATACTAAATTAATCTAAACACTGGTACACGAGCTTACATGAAACTGTGTATTTATTTCTGTACAACTCTGTGTTCAGGATATAAAAAAATACACGTTTTTACAAACGAGACAAAAATGTCATTTGTGCATACAAAATATCAAGACATTGTACTACAGTGAATAAGACATTACCAGAATTTTTTTATTTTTAGCAGCAAGATTGGTAGCAAAAACATTGTTATAAATATAATTTGCAAAATATATAAATATTTTTTGGTAGCAAGAAAACATAAAATCCATCAAGTTTCTACTTTCTTACATTTACAGACTGGATCCTGTCCACTCCATAACCTTGTGTCAAGACAAGTTCGCTCCTTGTCCCCAACGAGACTGAAGTTCTGGTGACATGTGTACTGAACTTTACTTAAATACGTTGTGGTCTGGTTAAGGAACACAAGGTCCCCATTGCTTAAAGGACTTGGTCTACCACAGTCAATAACTGTGAACAAAATAAGAAATTTTGAAAAGGCATGCACAAGTACAACTGAATCTTTCTAAACAGTATTACTAGTTTAAAAAACTATAAAGTCTGGGTTCTTTAGCCTTAGCACTTTGTTGAGCTTGTATTTCGTAAATTAAGTTTTTTGTAGGTTTACAGTGTGGATTACTGTTTATAATAACTGTGTTCTTCACAGAACTTCATAAGTTTTATACATTGTTCAAACCAAAATCCTTTTCTTTTGGTTAAATAAAAGTCAAATAACATGAAACATTTTGATGCATACAGCTTATCTACGATTATTATTTTGATAAAATGGAACATAAAATACTAGTGAACTTTACCAGAATTCATAAGTGATATTCTTTATATGTAAAACAGTACAATCATAGATTTCAAAATCAACGAACTACATTGATTGTTAGATACTACGGAATCCGTGAGAACCATCAAACTAATAAGAAAAATCAAGAACATTTTGCAATAAAAGTATCCCCAAGTCAGACTAAGATTGATCTTCAAACTGAAAAAATGAATATGTAACTTTTTTTCCTTTTTAAAGATAAAATACTGCTTCAAAAAAATCGCTCGTGTTGTGTCAATACACATGTCCATGCTGTAGGCATTGCTACATTGGGTCAACGACTTAAACCTTAACTACCAAAGTTAAGGAGTATGTGCAAAACAGCCCTTCCAACATCTCTGGAATTTACAACCATCTAAGCAAAATTTGTAGCAATAAGCCTAACAATGAACTCTTCAAAATAACAGACTCAGCAACAGATGAATGGACATTAAGGAAACAGGAAGCACTCCTGATTCTAAACTTAAAACCAAAGCTGAACAAACAGCTATCAAAACCACTGGATCTGAAACTGTGATAAACTTAGCATGCCTGAGATGGGCAAAGAGTGAAAACTTCGTTGAACAATCAAATTGTCAATACAAGTATTGGTCTTTGGGTTATTAAACATTCAAGAAATACACTTTTGAAAAGTGTGCTAAAATAGAAAAAAAAATTTGAATAAAGTTAATTGTAACGAAAACAATACACATACAAAATGAGCTCACTTAAAATACATGGAAAGTTGTTGTTTTCTTAGTACAAAGTTACACAATCAACTATCTGCACTCAGTCCACTGTGGGGAATTGAAAACTGGACTTTAGAATTCAAGTCCATAAACTTATTTCTGAACTACATAGGGACATGAATGATAAATAACTTCACAGTGTAATTTAATTATTTCTATAAAATAAAATCAGTTTATTAAAAAGCCGAGTACTTCTCACAAGACATACGAAATAATCACCATAGCTACCAATGGCTATGAAATATATGATTCTTATTAGAAGTAGTGCACTTCAAGGGATGTGCAACATAAAAACAGTTAAACTTACATTTACACTGAGGGTCTCTGCCTGTCCATATGCCACCAAGTTCACACTTCCTAACCTTGGTCCCAACAAGTTTATAACCTTTTTCACAGCTATATTTTGCCTGACTACCAGCTGTCTGCCCTGTAACCTCCAAGAAACTATTTGGTGGTGTCTCGAGCTTCGGACAATGGTTAACTATGCAGAAAAGATCAGTGTGAATGAGTATGTTTAAATCTTTAACCAAAACACCTTCTTTAGTTTCATATTCAGAAACACACCTACAGGTGCTTTAATCTGAGAGAAATTTTTAGGTGTGGTAATTTAAGTAAAAGTTGAAATTATTTTTGTTGATTAGAAACTGGTAACCACTGTTGTAAATGTCAATGTACTTTATTAGTTTTATATGTAATCTTAAATTTAAAGTTTCTTTACTTATGAAAAAAGCTTGTTAATAGGTTGTTTCTTTTTTCTTCTGTTTAAAATCATTCAAATTATGATGATTTTATCTAGAAAACAAATCATTTTAAGTTATCTAAACCCAACACATAAAAACAAAGAACCATAATATGTGTTTCATCTTTGTAACAGAACCAACAATAACAGACATTGTGGCTTCTTATCCTGTATATCTTTATAAAAAAAACTAAAACTAAGACACCGTGACTTCTTACCCTGTATATCTTTGTAATAGATCCGACATTAAGAGACATTGTGGCTTCTTATCCTGTATATCTTTATAAAAAAAACTAAAACTAAGACACCGTGACTTCTTACCCTGTATATCTTTGTAATAGATCCAACATTAAGAGACACAGTGACTTCTTACCCTGTATATCTTTGTAATAGATCCAACACTAACAAACAATGTGGCTTCTTACCCTGTATATCTTTGTAACAAATACAACACTAACAGACACTGTGACTTCTTACCCTGTATATCTCTATAAGTAAACCAACAATAATAGACACTGTGACGTCTTACCCCGTATATCTTTGTTACTGTACCCCAGCTTAAACTTAACACATAGGGAGCAACAAGAAAGAGTAAAACAACACTTACACAGACACTGAGCTTCTTCTCCTTCCCACTTGCTGTTTCCTAAACACCTTCGTGTGTCAGTGCCATCCAGTGTGTAGTATATCTTTGTTAGTGTAGCCCAGCTTAAACTTAACACATAGGGAGCAACAAGAAAGAGTAAAACAACACTTACACAGACACTGAGCTTCTTCTCCTTCCCACTCGCTGTTTCCTAAACACCTCCATGTGTCAGTGCCATCCAGTGTGTAGTATATCTTTGTTAGTGTAGCCCAGCTTAAACTTAACACATAGGGAGCAACAAGAAAGAGTAAAACAACACTTACACAGACACTGAGCTTCTTCTCCTTCCCACTCGCTGTTTCCTAAACATCTTCGTGTGTCAGTGCCATTCAGTGTGTAGTTCTGATCACAAGCGTACTGTGCAGTGGCATTGAAGGTAGTGCGAGCATCCAGATACAGAATGTATCCATTTGTAATGTTTGACAAAGGCCCACAGTCAACATCTGGCAAGGATTTATGAGAAACATTTAAGGCAATAAAAATTATCTACAAAGTCTCACACCCCACACAGACACCTCTGACCATTTCAATACGAGCATGATAAAGAGTAAATGAAGTTGAAAAATTAGACTTTAGCCTTCCGTGTCTTTAGATATTTTTCATGCTGTCAGGTAGCAAATAAAAAGAAAATTTATGAACTAAGTAAACCTTTTCTGAATTTGCTTTGTGTTTTATGCCTTTTTGTACGTATAAGTTTATTCACTTTACTGTCATTTGTGCTGTATTAAAATATTTTCTCTAATCACCAGTCTCTGAAATTAAAGTTCTGACTAACCACAGATGAAGGCAAGTAGAAAATTACTTAGTTAAACTTAACCCTTTGATGCCCCAAGGGAAATATTACACCACTAAATTAAAAATAAATTATTGAAAAAATACTTGAATTCATTCTTCCACATTTGGCTTTTTAAATACATTAGAGTTGATATTCATTCAGTAAACAAAAATATTATTTATTTAATTATTTAAAAACATAAAAAATCTTAAATTTTCATTTTGAGCTTACTTCACCATACTCTTGAATTTTCAACTGATAACATAGCATTCATTACTCGTAATCTCCTAACAAAAAAGTTGAAATGGTTTATGAGCTAAATAGTCAATTTCAATCTTGTAACTTTATACGAGTGTAGTTTTTTAACTGTTTTAGGCAATCACTGTTTCTCAACCTTGGTTGTCATGGTGTGATGTAATTGCCTGTATCTCAGCACTGAGAAATCAAAAGCTCTTGACTTAAACACGTAATAAAAGCTTTTTCTCTACTCTTTCCAAATGTATAAGCCAACATGTCTTCTAGTTCTGCAGAGACTCACAAAGTGAAGAAAGTTTAGCTTGGTGATATATTGCTAGAAGAAGAAAATGTTTGTGAACAATGTCTGTCGCAATTACAGCTTTGAGTTTGTTTTTTATAAAATCTTGTAATATTTTTATACATACATTTATACTACATTTGAATTACAATGTTGCAATATGATAGGAAATATTTTTCATGACACAAGATGAGGTAGGCTTAGTTAGATAACCTTGCACTCAACTATATCAAGTTTCATTTCATCAACAAGGTCGTTGCTTGTTAAGTCATGTTTACATTACTCATAATTGGTCTAAGTAACTGCAAGAATAGGCAAAGATTGTTATGAGTTTCGTGCAAAGCTAGTCGTCCCTAATTTAGCAGTGTAAGACTAGAGGGAAAGCAGCTAGTTATCACCACCCACTGCCATCTCTTGGGCTACTCTTTTACCAATGAATTGTGGGATTGACCATCACATTATAACACCCCCCATTGCTGAAAGGATGAGCATGTTTGATGTGATGGGGAATAGGCAAAACAAATCACAATAAAGAAATCCAAATATATATTAACAATTACAAAAAAACATTGACTTGCTTCTTGCTTTGATATGCAGAGTTCTTCAAATTAAAACAAAGATAAAATTTACAGTTTTATAGAATCAAAACTACTGGAAAGTTTTACAAGAACGTAGAAAGACATAAAATCAGTAATTGAAGTCTACAACAAAAGCAAGCATTTTCAATTGTTTCTTAGAAAAACGCATACTAGAATTAAATCTTTTTGAATTTTCAACGCTGCAAATTCATATAAATGTCACATAAAAATATAAGATATCTTAATTTGTAGAAGCTACATAATCTTTATTAATTTCATATCAAGTATTTCATCTACAATTTTGTCTTTTCCTTGCAATGTAATAAAACGAACAATAGAACAGGTGCATCAAATCCATTGGATTCATCCAGATGTTTTAGTTTTGAAACACCCAAAATAGCTCAAGACAACAGAAAGGCTTATAAAAAACAGTTAAAAACTTTAAAGGGAACTTACATTTACATGAAGGTGCTGAACCTGTCCAGAAACCATCAGGAGCACATGTCCGCATCCTGTCACCAATAAGCATGTTTCCAATAGGACATACATAAGTAACTTTCTGCCCCAAGTTAAAAGTCTTCTCTAAAATAGTGGAGTTCTCTTTCCTGTCAGGGCTGCCACAGTTTGATGGACCTTTTAACATAATTAAAACCACGTATTTACTTGTAAGACGTTCATACAAATAAATTAAACAGCTAATACCACATCATTACCTTGCTTCTAGCTAATACTGGCAATAAAGATCATTTCATTGTTTAGCACAAAGCTACAAACCTTCAGACTTACCACTGAGCCACTGGGGCAAGTACAGATCTAACACTCAAACAACACATGGGAAAATCACTTGAAGGTAAAAAACACTCATTATACTTCTTTTTATATCACAGGCTTCTCTATACTTAGATAAAACTTCAGAACATATCTAAAATTAGTTCATTTGATTACTAATGCCACTTAAGTTTCTAACTAAGCTGTTTACTAAACACTATCCTCATGTGGCCATAAAAACTTGAAAATTTTTTGTTCTTTCTTCTCTTACCAATAGGAGTCACCTGAATCATTCTACACAGATCACAGTTTAATCAGGAGTCACCTGAAACATTCTACACAGATCACAGTTTAATCAGGAGTCACCTGAATCATTCTACACAGATCACAGTTTAATCAGGAGCACCTGAATCATTCTACACAGATCACAGTTTAATCAGGAGTCACCTGAATCATTCTACACAGATCACAGTTTAATCAGGAGTCACCTGAATCATCCTACACATATCACAGTTTAATCAGGTGTCACCTGAATCATTCTACACAGATCACAGTTTAATCAAGAGTCACCTGAATCATTCTACACAGATCACAGTTTAATCAGGAGTCACCTGAATCATTCTACACAGATCACAGTTTAATCAACATCTTATTCAATGTGAATCTTTCACTTGGAAGCGATGTATTAATAATAATAGTATTATTTGTAGCATATTTATTCTAAGATTAAAATTAAAATGAAAGAAGTCTTATTAAATGAGTACTAATTAATGTGTTTTAGGTATGAACAGTTGCTTGTTGAATATAAAGCAAGAATTGCAATTCATAGACTGGGTAAAATTGTAGGAAAGCATTTTGGCACTTTTAATGAAATTTAATAAATCATTTGTCTAAAAAAAGAATTCTTATTATCTATTTCAAAGTAAAAATTGTGACCACTGTCTTTTGAAACAATGTGTGAAAAGGTGAGTGAAAAGTCAAATGTAAATTTCTGATTGATACACATTGTTGAGAAAATAATATTCATTTATAAATTTTTTTCTTAACCAACAGAATATACATAATATAAAAGTAATACCAGTGGCCTAAGTATCCTTTCACAATTGCAGGGGAGAGGGTGGGGGCTAAAAGGGGATCCAAATCAGCCAGAATGATATATAACTACAAACATAGGGAAATAAATGTATGGCCTATTTACTTTTATGCAGGGGGAGGCATCTTTTGTAGTTACACTACTGTTTAACACTAATGATTCTAAAACCATTATTTTTTGTTTTAACAATTTCAAAAAATAAAAAAACTAACTACTACTGTACATAACAGACTAATTATAAAATCATGCAGGTGTTATGACAGCGGTAGTCACGTGACTCTGGTAACACGTCATGATATTCTTGAAGGATCGGGGAACATCACAAATAATCCAGTATTTGCTAGGTACCCTCTATTCCTGTATATAAGTGCGCCGGATAACGTGAGACGAATCAATCGGAATTGAATTGCAGACAGGCAGAGATAAAGACGAACAATTGAGTCATGCGGGGTAGTGACCGTAAGTAAGTGCGTGAATCATTGTGAATTATAGCGTGTGTTTAAAGTGACTGTGGAAATCAAGTGTATTACAAAGTTGAATTGAGAAAAAATAAACTAGTTTTATTTAAGAAAGGAGTTGTATCTCTGAAGTTCCTTGGGAAGAATTTATACCGGGAAATTAACAAACGACCAGAGACGTAACACAGGCTTTACTGACAACCAGTTTTGATTTGATTTACAGAATTAACTAAGTTAGATTTTGTAAAAATTAATTAAGCTATATTCCATAAAATTGGTAGCGATAAATCAAATAATATAACAGATTGTATTATTTGATGTTATACTCTTGTGAAAAACATACATCGATTGATATACTGGTTATATCATCTAGCGTAACACTCTTGTGAAAAACATAAATCAAATGGTAGATTGGATTATGTGTCTGGTGTAGCAGTCTTGTGAAAATCACATATCAAATGATATACTGGTTATATCATTTGGTGTAACAGTATTGTGAAAATCCTAAATTAAATGATATATTGGTTATATCATTTGGTGTAACAGTATTGTGAAAATCATAAATTAAATGATATATTGGTTATATCATTTGGTGTAACAGTCTTGTGAAAAATTCACATTGCAAAACTTCATTATTTACTACAGTTATTATGAGGTATAACATTACAATATGGCAAGCTTGATTTTAATTGTCTCGTACATATATTTGATGTATACTCAACAACAGCAGAGCAGTGTAACAAAATTTAGCTTTCTTTCCCCAAGTGACCTATAGAACATTACAGCAACTAATTTTAAATCATTTCTAGAATACATGCTGTTGGCTATTCATCATAATCTTTTTTAAGTTAAATATATGAATTTTTATATTATTTTATGGAATAACTTACAAAATCATAAAACATATCAACACTTACATTAACATTTTAAAGTTCTAACCATAAACTTGCAAAAGAACCTACTTACTATACTGACAAATCCATGGTAAATAATCTAGATCACATGTTACATCATTCCACAGCCACTTCCTCCCACCATCCAAAACATTAACATTTTAAAGTTCTAACCATAAACTTGCAAAAGAACCTACTTACTATACTGACAAATCCATGGTAAATAATCTAGATCACATGTTACATCATTCCACAGCCACTTTCTCCCACCATCCAAAACATTAACATTTTAAAGTTCTAACCATAAACTTGCAAAAGAACCTACTTACTATACTGACAAATCCATGATAAATAATCTAGATCACATGTTACATCATTCCACAGCCACTTCCTCCCACCATCCAAAACATTAACATTTTAAAGTTCTAACCATAAACTTGCAAAAGAACCTACTTACTATACTGACAAATCCATGGTAAATAATCTAGATCACATGTTACATCATTCCACAGCCACTTCCTCCCACCATCCAAAACCACACAATTCTGTTGCCCATTGTAGTTGTTGGGCTGGTCAGGAGCCCACAGAAAATTCACTATTGTCTGATCTATTGTGAAATAAACATTACAGTAATATATTTGTAATAAAGTATCCATGTTAAAATTACTTTTATAATGACAGAATTTTCCTTAAGCTAAACAAAATAGAAGTATTTTTATCACAGAGAATGTCTATAAGTATTCAAATAATACTCCAGAGTTTGTAAAATTATTTTTTTTATATTTAAACATGTATAATGTTTTAGATTTTAGTTTTCCAGAAAACCTTTACTGAAAAATGAACCTTATAATTTCCATTTCTCTACATTTCTTACATAACCAATTACAGGAATGAAAATAACCGAATCTTCCTTTACTATAATGAAATGGAAATATTTTTTTAACCAGAACTACCAAAGTATTTCACCTTTAAAGTACAATTATTTATTTTATTCAAGAATTCATTTAATTAATTTCATTACCTTGATGTTTACAGCAAAGAAACTAAATAACTGTTGTAGAAGTTTCAAAACAGTAATGTATTGATAATGAAACTTTGAATAGTTTCAAAGAATGTTAGTGAAATCAATAGCATTTCTAAAATCTCAATGTTAAAAATAACTTAGATATATATTTTTAGCTTCTCAATATTTCACAATAATAAATGATTTATTGATTAGTCTGCATACATTTGAAACTCATTAAAGGAAAGACAGAAGATTTGAATATTAGATCACACTCACTGTTGACCCAATGCCATTTCTGAGACACTATACCACGCTCTCGCTGAGCTCCAAGCCATACTAAGTTAGATTTTAAATTATCCTTTTTTCTCTCCAATTCAGATGACAAAAAGTTATGGATTATGTTGCTCATGGAGTGTGCAATAAAACCTCCGCGTGCTCGGCAGTACTGATCTGCATTCGTGAATGTCCCTCCTTTGTCACCTTGAAACTCGTAACATGTCTGGTTAAATATAGTCAGCTTCAAGGGTTCTAGTTGATTGGCACACCGATCGACAGAAATTTCTATAAAAACCAATAAATTAGAGCTTAAAAGTTATTTTGCTTTTCTTTAAAAACTTTGAACATACCCTGAATCTCTATATCTACCACAATACAGGGAGATTTCACTAAACAACTGTGTAATAGTACATTACTCATAGACATGACTGTATAACTATGAATAAAGACTAAACTCTCCTATAGGAAACACACACGTGCACATATAAATATATATATATACACATGTACAACTATATACGAACATACCTATATAGAAATAATAATAAATATGTAATTACAAAATGAGAACCTAACATGAAACATCACAATGTATAAGTGGGCAAAAATTGTTAGCAACCACAAAAAAATTAAGTTAAAATATCTTCAAATGTAACGAAAATGCACAAGAATATGACACAGAAGTCAAAAACCTATATAGTAAAAAGTGGTGTATAATTCAATTATCATCAAAGACAGTCTGTCTCTCCAATTATTCACCAATGTGGGTGTGCAACAGTTTGAAATAATGTACTAAGCCATAAAGGGAATCAAACTAAGGAACTAAGTTTTTAGTTTTCATTTCTCCATGTTTGATACCCTGTAAGACTAATATAGAAATTTTTAATGTTCAAATATATGCATCTTCTCGAACACGTTTTTTAAACTTAACTGAATATACCTGTATTACAGATAATTCTCAGCTAGTTATAGTAGCCTTGCCTTTTGAATAAAACAGAACAGAATCTGAAGTACTTCTCAACAAAAAACACAAATTTTAAAACTCAGGCAATACACTTGGTTTTTTTCACAAGTTCTAGTTTTTCCTTACAATATCTTAGTTTTACAATTATAGCAAATACTAATGAAACTACAGAGCTCAAAGCTGACTTACCTTGTACCGTGAACACCATAACCTCACAAAGTGATAGTGACCCTTCGATGCCCACCATCTGAACAAAAGCATATCGACCAATAATGGGATAAGCACATTCAAAATCTTTGGTGGTGCCATCCTCTGAAAAAAACAACAGATAATTGTCAGCTTCGATAATTTATCGATGAAATAAATAACCTGATATAACCCTCATGGAATGAGATAATAATTGAAAAGATATTTAACTTACCTTTTTATAATTAGAAAGAGTAAATGACCTAAAGATGACTGAACTTTGCATAACATAAACCAACACATGAAACAAATATTGAAAGGTTGGAAGAAAGAGAAAGAAAATACTATGTTAAATAAAGTTTGGGTAAATTCACAACAGCATAGTTAATTAATTGTTTAAAAATTACTTTAATACAAGCTTGAAATGTTGATGATAACGAAAAAGAAGCATTCTTCCATAACTTGCATTCTAATTAAAATACAAATATACAGAAAAAAACAACAACAACAGACAGATCTCAACGTCATTAAGAAAAAACCAACAGTTCCATGTGATGGATGTGTGTGTGTGTGTGTGTGTTTCTAAAGAGAAGCCATTAGATCCATGAAATTAATGAAAGTCATTAAGAAGAAATGTGTTTTTCTAAAAAGAAGCTAGCAAATATTTAGCATGTTCTTGTATCTTTAAAGAAAGGGTAACAGCTTAAACTAATTTAACGTGTGTGTGTGTGTTTCTAAAGAGAAACCAACAGTTCCATGTGATGGATGAAAGTCATTAAGAAGAAACCAACAGTTCCATGTGATGGATGTGTGTGTGTGTGTGTTTCTAAAGAGAAGCCATTAGGTCCATGAAATTAGTGAAAGTCATTAAGAAGACTAATTTCATGGACCTAATGGTTTCTCTTTAGAAACACACACATCCATCACATGGAACTGTTGGTATCTTCTTAATGACTCGCACCAAAATCTTGAAACTGATGACTTCTCATTAAGGAGAGAAGCCCATATTCTGGACTCATGTTATGGACCTGACTTTTCCTTCTTAGAGAAATAAGGCCATGTCCTAGCTGGAACTGTTAGTTTCTCCTAAATGAAACAAATTCATTTAGTGGACCTGTCAGCTTCTGGTTAAAAAAAGAAGCTTGTGTCATTTTACCAACCTATCAGCTTCTTAAAAAAGTAACCTCATATCCTGCTTTCAGCTTCTCCATAAAGAAACAAGTCTTGTGTCCTGGTTTACTGGCTTCTTCAAGAAAGAAGACTGTGTTGTATAACCTTTTGGTTTCTCCTTACAGATACATTCCAAGGTTATGCACATTTGGCTTCCCATTAGAGGCATAAGGCCGGTTTGGAGTTGTTTGCTTTTCCTCAGCAGCACAAACTCGTGTCATAGAGTTTTAAGTTATTCTTTCAAGGACTACTGAAAGCAACAGCCAGCCTCTCTTATTATCTGTATTATCTTGAAAGTTAAATGTCCTTATTAAATAATTACTAGCTACCTCTCTAAGCATAATGAGAGGCACTTTACTGTGATTACTAATTTGTCGTTTAACATTTATTAAACTATTCTAGCTGTCAAGTTATTCTATATTCATTATTATACAATATTTACCTATTGTTCCTGGATACCAGGCACATAAACGATTACCCTGAACTGTGGAGCTGTTTCCAACTCTAATTTATTATACAATATTTACCTATTGTTCCTGGATACCAGGCACATAAACGATTACCCTGAACTGTGGAGCTGTTTCCAACTCTAATTTATTATACAATATTTACCTATTGTTCCTGGATACCAGGCACATAAACGATTAAGCTGAACTGTGGAGCTGTTTCCAACTCTAATTTCTAGATCATGTAAGGGCTTGTGACCTACAAAAATAAAAACATTTCCCAAACATGAAAGATTTCTACTCATAATTAGTCAATAAATAGAAGGAAACAGACAAATGACAATGAATTAAACTACAGAAAATTAATCCAGGTATACATCTCAATGTTTTAAACTTAAAAAAAAAAGGTTAAGTCTGGTACAAAATAAAATTTGATATAGGTCAAGGAATTGATATACTGAAAGAAAAATCATTATAATGAAATAATTATGCAATCATTAAATGATAAAAAATACTTATGAAAGGATCAGATGTCATATTACCATTAACTTTTGATCAAAACAACAAGTTACACATACAGAACAGAACTAAAAATCAACGCAGTAATAAACAGAACTACTCTAAGATACCATTCTTATAATGATTAGAAAGCACTGATTCATTAGTTGAGTACTATCACTGTTAGACAGCAATAATACAAATAATATCTCACACGGTTTAGCCAGCCTAGGAAGTTTAAGTTAGTCTTAAATCCATATACTTAGTTAACAATAACGATAAGTAATAATGTTGTTTTATATAAATGTCCAAACTGCTGCTTCACTAGAATTTTTAACATCAAGTGCTGGGTGTGGCTTAATGATCACGGCCTTCCTGAAAGTTTTAGAACATTTTACGTCTGTATAAAACACAAGTTAGGCTAGAATACATTTTGATTGATTTTTGAGCTAGTCAGTTCGTATTTTAACAACAACAAAAAGAGATACGAGAAAGTGTTGTCTACCGTGAACTCAAGCCTATCAGTGGGCATCAATTAAGCTGAAGAAGTTGCAACAGAAGAAATATTTTTGTTTTATCATTAAGTAGAGTATACAAAATAAAGGGTTTTCTAAAGGTTCTTTTTTCTAATAATCTAAAGTTAAGTAAAATACGTGTTAATGATTTATTAATGTTAATGATTTACATCAGACCAATAATAAATGTAACTTTCTGCACCAATATAAACTTTTCATGAAGAAATTCATTACTTTGTATATGATGACATATAGATTTTACCACCAAGTTCTGATAATGATATTCCCCCCCCCCCCCCCATATCAAACACGATGCATAATCATTATATTTCCATGGACCTGTATTGGATAGTTATAACCTAACATAATGTCCCATCCTCTAAACTATAATTATGAAATAGATTAATTTAAAAAAAAGTCTTAAAGCCAGCCCTTATCATTTATATACTTATCAAGCTTTCTCTTAAACGCACTTAAATTTAATGCCTCCTCAACATCCAAAAGCATCCCATTCCAAAGACCAACCACCTTGTTAGAAAAATAAAACTGTCTTAGCTGAAGATGACTCCTACCCTGCCAAGATGTGTATTTGTGTCCCTTAGTCCTACTATTCTCACTGTTGAATATGAATAAAGATTATGCATCAACACTATCAATTCCTTTTAAAATCTTAAACACCTCAATCAGATACCCTCTAACTCTTCTTTTTTTAAACCCTCCATCCCAAGTAACGTCGAGTAACCCTCTTCCGAACACTTTCCAACAATTCAATGTCCTTCCTTTGAACACTTTGTAGCAACGTTTTTGGCTAAAAATATAGGTTTACCTTCAAATTTATACGTTTTTAAAGGTTATTTGGCCATTTTGAGCAAATACAAAAGTCATAAAAGATGAAACAAAAAAATAACAGGTTTGGAAACAAATCTTGTTACAATTGATTTACTAACTTCCTTTAATGACAACTTCCATTCTATTTATAGTGAAAATTACTCTTCAGCATAAATAATTATTTCTTCAAAACATCCTACTTTCAATCTAGTCAAACAGAAGAGATAAATTTTCACTTACCACAACATCCTCTGGTAATGATCCTCACAACTTTCACTTCATATGTTTGTAACAAGTCCACTTGCCACCAGGGTGAGTTTTCTTTCTTTGTTTCTGTACAGAATTTGTTCTCGTGAAGGGTTGTCGTGTCTCCATCATTAGCATTTTGTGGACTTCCACCTCTGGTGGAGCTAGATTGGTTAGCAGGTTTTCCATAGGCAACATTTACAGCTGTTTAGGAAAGCAAATTGCACTTTCACTTGATTTAATAATAGTAGTATTTGTGCCAGTAACTAACTTTTTTTATGCTTTCCAAACTTCAAGGGTTGTGATACCGAAACTTGGATGCAATTGATCCATAAAATATAAATAGGCAGTATCAGTACTTGACTTACAAGGCACGAGATTCAAACAGCAAAGTAACTGAATCACACAGATTACAAACAGCTTCCATACTAGTAGTGGGGGTTAGGGAAAGATTTCACTTAATCTAAAATAACTTTCGGTTGTAGTGGACAGCCTTGCAAACACACTCATCCACGTGCTTTACCTCGAGTGTCTTGTGCAAAGCAAAGTATAACTGATTATGACGCAACTTAATTACTTAAAACACTTTTCAACTGATTAGATTAAATAGAAATCATGTTTCGGTTTTTAAAGAAATATTATATACTATTTACGTACTAAGTAACCTACTGACAAATAACGTCGACTCACACAATATATTTTTTTCTTCAAATAATTCCACTTATTACTGCAGGTGTCCCCTCTGTATTTTTCTAGAAAATGAGCGACTTGTAATTAATTGTTTTAAAATTGTTACCGCCAAACGTTTCATGGATCAAATAAGCTGCAAACATTTCATATAAAGTATAGCTAATCTTAAAAAGGTTCTCTAAAATTGAAATACCACTAGTTCACATAACTTTCAACAGGTGGTGAATATTGTTACGACAGCAGAAGTCACGTGACGCTGGTAACACGTGATGATGGATCATGAAGGCTCGAGTGTTAGCCAGACGCCCTATATTTTTATATATATAACAAATAAAGTGGGGAGAGAAGTGACGGCATAGATAATTGCAGATAGAGGGAGATACTGAGACATATAATC